ATAAAATAAATAAATTAAAGAAATTACATAAAAATAAGAACTTTTAAATAGTTGATTTGATATTAACATTGATATATTTTTTTTTCAAAATTTTATGATATCTTTAAATTTATATTTTATTCAAATAGTAAAATCATTATTGCTTACTTAAAAACACATAAAATCATATTATAACATCGACAGAGACAAAAAATAAAATAGAATATTAAAATCGAGATGTATCTCGCTGCATTGCGTGAGTACTATTCTAGAATTCTTAAATATAAAATGGGATTGATGATAAATGTTTATAACATAATAAACATTTAGAGTACAAAAAAGTCATACTTACTTATCGAGTAAAACTCTTTTATCTTGTCACCTCTTATAAGAAAAGCAAATCTCATAAAATTTAAAAATAAATAAAAATAAGAAAAACGGCAAAACCTAAAAGATATTATAAATAAGGAATTTCATCGAATAATTCTCTAAACTTTTCAAACTTTATTTATTTTAAAAAGTTTAAAAATGTAGAAATTAAAAATATTTGAAATATAAAATAATAAATACCTGAAGTAACTATATATTTATAGAACTTAAACAAATCGAAATTCGGTAAGAATGGAAGTTATAATAAGAAGCGTAAAAATGGACCTTTGACTCTTAAATCAATGTTAATTAAATATCAATACTAATACAGTGTACCGAGATGCACCAGATTAATTTCTGTGATAAGCGCATTTCATGGATGCAGGTGGGATTAAAAATGATCAAAGATCCAGATCTCGTCTTACATTTTTCATCTTAACTTCTATTCTCACACAATCATTCGTCCATATTATTAATGGTTGTTTGTTACAAAATTTAATGTAAATCTTGATTACATAAGTAGCATACTAAAGACTGTTGGGTTACGGGATCTCAAGCACAGCGGAAAATAAAACTGTAACCCTCCAAGGACCCATACGAACCGGAATAAATCGTGTGTTTCGAAATTATACCTCACAGTTAGCAAAACTCTGATCACAGCAACAAACAAAGCTTGATGCCTCCACGGTATCCACGCAAACAATCCAAATCCTTTGCCTTCTCGTGATGCTAGTCACGGTTTCAGAACTTAGAAAGAAAAGGGAGCATATTGTTGTAGGTGGTTTTAAGAGAGAAAAATGCAAGACCAAAAAACTCTCTTGCATAACAAAATGTCATACATTTTATATGGACATGGGATGCATAGCCTAACCATCACCATACCTCCACCATGCCTCCACCATGCTTGAGTGTAAGACCTTCCATGCACCATCACTCTCTTACAAATCAATACCTAGTCAATTTTATTTATGTCCAACATAAATAATATCTGATTTTATTTAATCAGATTAAATCGATACAAATCAGATACGATAATTAAACATTTTAATTATTGAAACTCCTTATTCGAATATGTTCAAAGCGTGTGACCCAATGGGTTCTCGACATGTTGGCAATAAATATAAATCTCATATTTATAGTTATAAACGATGAGCGGTATCTAGCAATACATCACCGTTACCCAAATGACGAGAATTAGTGATACAACAAATTATCGGTATGTAGTCAATTTTAGTTTTACATATTTAATTCTTTTGTCCTTGATGTCCAGGTTGAACACGAGACATTGAATGTGTCATTCTCGTTATGTCCAATCTCTAGTTTCTTGATTCCTTAACATACTAATAAAAAAATAGATAATGATATCTCATATCAATTACCTAAGCATGCATGCATTTCTTTAGTATATATTTATCAAGGGGCCCAGAGACATCACTCCCGTCATAAATGAGGGACAAATCATATCTCGATACATGCTAATTCTATCATGTGATATGCAACATACCCAACTATCATTCTGTCACCCAGTTACGGAATGATTAGAATAAATGTCAAAATACATTACTCACACATAACAAATTTCATGTTCTCAAGTCAAAGAATTACATGTACATTGACCATATGAGAAACACTTATGACACTTACATGACATCCAATGAAGTGTTCTCATAATGAGTCACGTCCGATACACAAAATCTCCATTTTGTACCCATATGCAGATTCGACATCTCTATATGAATCCATACATATGCTAGTCATTATCATATTACTTCAMCCTTAAACCCGAAATAATATTTAACTAGGGACATTTAGAATACATTATTCTAAGGTTATTTATTATGAATAATTAAAACACAGAATATAATATATATACATAATAAAATGGGCAATGTCTTTATATTTATCAATTTCATGAAACAAACTTAAAGTTACAATCATCATATGATTGGTTTTTGGGCATTCACTAACAAAGACATCTTTAAAATGATGTTTATATCATTGTTTAGGGGTTATTTGGTTGGTTTTCCAGTGGTCCTTTATGGATAGAACTGTTATATGGATTAATCTGTTTGTATAGATTGAAAAAGTTTTTTGTTTGGAATGGTTGTTTCATAAATGAAAGAAGCGTGCTTTTTAATTTACATGGACAAGTTTGAAAAACTTGGCTTTCTACATAAAGCCTTCCGAAAAGCATGCCAAATAAGCCATGTTTTATATCATTAATTTGTTATCAAACAGTCATATATAGCTGATCAAATAAGTTATGAGTCTCTTAAGCTCATTAATGTGTTAACAAACGGACTTTTAGTGACCTAATGGTTAAGCTATGGATTTGCCTTCTTTAATTAACTTATTTTCATTATTAGTTCATACTCCTAACTCTGATCTTAATTCATAAGTAATTATTATTCTATTTATAGAAACTTTCAAATTTTAATCAATAACTTAACTTTCAAAAGTTGTATTTTCAACTAGGGGTGAGCATAGGCGGGTACCCGTTCTATTTGACAGGAACCGGTTAGAGCGATTCTTGAATTTTTGGAACCGGAACCGGAACCGTCGGGAACCGGTTTTGATTCCGGGTACCCGCTTCCTAAAATATTAAAATTTTGTTATTTAGAAATAAAAAATAAAACATTGCCAAAACACTAAACGAATAGACTATAATACAAATTATACGAAATAATGGTTACAAATATTGTTTAATAATTACAAACCATAATAGACTAATAGTAAATGTTGAAAGTTTAAYGATTACATACTATAATTGTAAATGTTCAAAGTTTAACGATTACATACTACGAATCCAATTAAACACACAATTTGAAAAAATACGAATCATTTTATCTCAAAAATCTAATCTAGAGTTCTAAATTCTTGACCTAATTTAAATTTAGTATTAAAAAAATTAATTTTTTTAATTGAAAAATACCAGGTATCCGCCGGTTCCGGGTACCCGGTCCTGACGAGTAACGGTTCCGAAAAATTGAGAACCGGAACCATTCTCAATCGATTCCGTATTTTAAGAACCGGAACCACTCATATCGGTTCCGGTTCCGCTGCTCACCCCTAGTTTCAACGAGTATATACTACATATTTAATACAATCATTGTAACATTCATCCTTGAGTTTAGGAGTGCTAAAAAACTGATCAACCACTTAGGGTCCGTTTACTAAACGCTACTTGGTAAGTACTTAATAAAATTCCTTACCGGATGAACATGACAAGGGCCAAGAATTATACCCGGTAAGAGCAATGAGAATGATGGAGAGTCTTATCCGGTAAGTGAAGATTACGACTCTTACCCAGGTAAGCGCTTACCCGGTAAATTGTTGCATTTAATACGTTTTGATGTACTAAAATCTTACTCATCAAAATAAAAATTATAATGTTAACTCCTATAGATAAATACTTACCGGGTAAGCATTTGGATAAACATCCCCTTAGTCTGCCCAAGTCCTTTTAAGGCAAATTGTGAATATAATTTCTGAATCATTTCAAAAATAAAGTCCGCTAAACTAGCCGTGATAATAACATCATCAACATAGACGAGAATACAAGTCGTGACCTAGGCTGAATGATAAACAAACAATGACGTATCTAATACACACTGAGTAAATCCGAATGTAAAAGGAGCATCAAAAAGTTAATCGAATCGATGCTCGCTAGCCTTTTTCAATAAGTAAACATGATTAGGTCGGGACTCATCAACCAAACCCGGAGGTTGACTCATGTAACGAGTCTCATTTTATCATTTAGGTCACCATGTTAGAATGCATTATTCACATCAACTTACATTATATCCCAACCTCATGAGTAAGGATTTAGAATTTTTTTCAAACGGTGGCACCATTTGACTATAAGAAAAAAAACTATAACAAAATTTTTTTAAACAGTGGCACCGGTTGACTATAAGAAACAAATATACTAATTTTTTTCAATCGGTGACACTATTTGACTAAGAAAATGACACCAACAAGATTTAAATTTGGGTCTAGAATGGAATAAAAGCCGTGCAAACCAACTCTATCAAATAAAACTTGTTCTCATTATAGTTTCAAAATACATACGATAGCACACAACAGATTAATACAGTTGCACCTTTCACGAACCTAATTTTTTTTTTACCTTTCGACGGAGAAATAATACGGTGGCATGTGCCACCGTTATCACCATGGTAGGTTTGCCCATGAAGCTACTAAAAGAACCAATCGAATAGTTTTGGGTTTAACAACAGGGCCAAAGGTTTCACTATAGTCAACGTCTTCAATTTGAAGAACCCTTTAGCCACCAATCTCGCTTTACATCGACTTACGGCTAGAGATGAAAATTTTACCCATAGAGGCAAGGATTCCCCGTTTTGGTGGGTAATGGAGCAGGAAAGGGGATTTATTTCCATACTCGAAGMAAGGACACCCGATAAGCAGTTATCTGATAAGAATTTGGTAAAATACCCCTTAGAGTAAAATGATGGTAGGGTGACCATTGAATTTCATTCGACCACCACCACCACCACCATGCCACCATCACTACCGCCTCCACCTAACCACCAGCGTTATATTCAACGAACCAATCAAGACAATTTCATTCCAATTCTAATCAACCAAAGCTTAACAAATCCCATTCCGTGGACCACACTTCACCTCAATTTTATACTAGGAGAGTACTCGCATAATGTAGCGAGACATATATCAATTTTAATGTTCTATTTTATTATTTGTCTCTGTCAATGTTATAATACGATTTTATGTATTTTTAAGAAAACAATAATGATTTTATTTTTGAATAAAATATAAATATGAAGATATCATAAAAATTTGAAAAAAAATATATCAATATTAATATCAAATCAACTATTTAAAAGTTCTTATTTTTTATGTAATTTTTTAATTTATTTTTTATTATAATTTAATTTAAGTTTAATAACGAAATAATTTATTTTTAATTTAACAATATAACATTTTATAAATATAATAATTAAGTATTCTGTTAGAACTAAATAATTATCCTAATTATATTTTATATTTTATATTTTTTATAGTTAAAATAAGTTGTTTATCCAATTGATTATGTTTATCTGCAGTTAGTTACACGAATTCAGATATAAAGCTTTAATAAGTTGTACTTACGTACAATATACTTGTAATCTTAAATTTTAAATAATATGTATTAATAATACTTTATACATAAAAAATAATTTTTAAATTGTTTTGTCAAATACTTTATAATATAGCATAGATAAAATTTTATCAAATGTGGGCCACCCGAAACCTATATCGTAACGAAAAGGCTTAATCTGTGTTTCCTTTACCTTGGTGTTTTATCTTCACAACGACCATCAATTCCAAGCCATGCATCTTCTTCTTCTTCCCCCGACACTCTGCTCTCTCTCCCCCCTTCCTCCCCACCGCCACCTTCACTTCCGGACGCGCCACCGCCAAAACCTCCGTTACCTCAAAACCCTCGGTATTACCCCACCGGATTTCCACTCCCCTCAAACCCTGTCTCAAATCCTATCAACCCTAAATTACTTCAAATCCAAAGGCTTTTCGGAGCCCGATTTCCCTAGAATCGCCTTTCTCTCCCCACATCTCTTCACCCCGACCTTCGATCCCATCGCCATCGAACCCGTTTTCGATTTCTTAACCGTCGATTTAGCCGCGTCGCCGGAGGAGATCCGTGGATTGATCCTCAAATGCCCTCACATCCTCGAATCGGATCCGGATTTGTGCTTGAAACCGACACTCAGTTACCTCAAAAAGTTGGGGATTAAGCAGTTGAAGTCTCCAACAACCTTGAATGCTCATCTACTGGATACAAGAGTAGAGAAATTAGAAGAGAAAATGAGGTTTTTGCGAAGCGTAGGGTTTTCCGTTGAGGAATCGAGGAGGATATGCGGGCGGTTTCCGGCGATATTTGGGTACGGTATAGAGCATAACTTGAGGCCCAAGTTTGAGTATTTGAGGAAGGAGATGAAGAGGAATGGTAGGGAGGAAGTGAACAAGTTTCCACAGTATTTCGGGTTCAGTTTGGAGAAGCGGATAAAGCCCAGATATCTGCATCTGAAACAGAGGAATGTTGATGGTGATGTACCATTGAATAGGATGCTGCTATGGAGTGATGAAAGATTTTTCAAGAAATGGAAATGAAAGGAAGATGTATACACCTTAACAGAATTGATTTTATAAAGACACCGAATATGTTTTTTTTTATTAACCTGGATATCCAACCCGTTAATGAGCCGACTCCTAGGACGACTAAGCAGATAGTCCGCCTTGGAATATGTTTGTTTTAATGGACCAAACAATTATGCCATCATTTATAAATAAATTGATATGATACATGTAGACACACTTTTGACATAATGTGTCATACACTTTACAAATCTAATAAATCAAACAAACTTTTTTGTTTTGTTTTACATATGAAATAATACTTGTAAACATATAATGTTTATATAGTTTTGTTTCATATGTAAAATATTTAGTTTACATATGGAAAAAAATAGTTCTGAACATTTCATATATAAAAACATTGTATAAAAGGTGCATTTTCACACATGTTTCGTATATGAGAACACATGAAACTTGGTTCGTTTGTAAATTTGTATGAATTATTGAGTCAAATTTCCTAAAAGAAAATTATATTTTGCTTAGATTCCAACATTAATTACATTATCAAATATTCAATAAATTTATAGAATATATTTTGTTTTCTCCTAAATATTTAATTTCAATGCCCCTTAGGGGCCGTTTACCAAATGCTTACATGGGTAAGTGTTTACCAAGTCATATTACCTTATCGGATGAATATGACAAGAACCAAAAATCTTACTCGGTGAGAGCAAAGACATGGACCGAGAGCCTTACCCGGTAAGTGATGACGACGACTCTTACCACGGTTATCGCTTACCGGGTAAGTTATTACATACAATGTCGTTTTATTGGACTCAAATCTTAAGAGGTAAGTAAACGATGGTGTTGAATTTTACCGGTAAACGCTTACAGGGTAAGTTTTTATGTAAACAGCCCCTAAAATATTGGGTTTGTAGAGATTCTTTAAATTTCAAATGTGTCCTAAGAACTTTGTTACAATACTCAAAAACATCGTATCAACTTATTGCAATATATTTAAATCTAACACATCCCTATAAAAATTGAAGTGTTACAAAAATTAGTTCGTAACCGTATTTAATATCCTATAAAGCCAATTTTGTTGGAGTAAAAGAGAATTGTACAAGAAATACAATGACAAGAAACATAAAGTTGAAGCAAATAAAGCATCATCTGTTATTGGTTAATATCGACTCAACTCAAGGGCCAATTCTTAGCAAGAAAACTGGCCTAAAAAATGTCTAATTCACTAAGGCACAAAAACAAGTATAAAATCTATTCTTCAGGAAGTGATTGAAATCGGCAAAAAAGTGGAGGAGAAGGCAAATAAAGATGTTGGACTAGTTGGCTACAATTTCATGAATTGCATCGCTCACGGATTCGTCCTCCGATCTAACAGCCAGTTTCATTGCCACCTCTTTCGCGCTATCCACTCCAAAAGAGAGACGAACCAGTACCTTCACGTTGCCTATGTATACCCCCGATAACAAGCATGCGTGTGATCTTGAGTTGGCTGCAACCACCTCTGTGCCCTGAAAAAGAACCAATAAATATTGAAACCAAACTAACCCGTTAAATCCCACAGAGGTAGGTTATAAGAGTTGCGTGTATGCAGAGAGACTGTTTCCGAGAAAAAGGAACTATCAAGCATGCTACAGGTGGAGAATGTGTGGAAAAATAAATTTTAGTTCCTTCAAAAAGGTCAGGCAAGAACAAGAACCAAGACTGCTTATTTGAAAGCACGTGTGTACTTGGTACGTACACGGGACAGGAATGGTGAGATTGAGCTACCCGGGTGAAAGAATTGTTGGTTTTAGGGTTTTAAACTGACATGGGTAGTTTGTAATTTACCAAGCTTGTTCCGTCTTCATGATTTTTGTTCCACTTATTTCGGTGGATTTTTGTCTCTTCCAATACTGTCCTGTCCCGCTCTAATGTAGAAACCGAACGTGACAACAAGTTTTGTTTTCTACCGACTCACATCCTATCAGTAGTACCAAACACACCCGTAGGGACAACAATTGGTGCATCTTCTTCTCGTAAGGAAGAGCAGTTTTGAGTTGCTCATCAAATATGTGTTTACAGAAGGACAAATGGTTCTTGGTATTACATATGAACATTTTACTAAATAGCAGTGAATGCGACAATTTGCTTGAGCATGCTAGATGGATAGTTGGATATAAATCGAGATAATACGTACCTCACAAGGTTGCATGCCAAGAAGATTGATAACTGCATTAACAGCTTCACTCAAACTTTCCCTCGGACCCAGACCATACTCGTCAACACGCTCAAAATCGGGGCCCAGGCTTTCCCATGCGTTTCTGAAATTGGAAACCCGGACCTTAAGCATGTAGTCGGCTGCAACAATCTCAGAATCCTCCAGTTGGTATTCATCTTCGACACCATCATCCTCAGCCTCACCAGTTGAGGGATCAACCTGCAAATTTCAGTGAGCGGAAATCAAACAAGAAAACATCATGCAACTTTTTTTAGTAACAGATGAAAAATTATTACTTCTTTGACGATGAACTTCAAGACGTTAGAAAATCTGCCAACGGCTGGGACCCCTTCTGGTTTCTCGAATGCCACAAATGTTTGACCGGGTGTATCATATGGCAATGCTTTCAATGGTTTGGTTGCCAATTCGGCAAATTCTTCTGCCTCTGAAGCATCCACAACAACAACGACCTAAAACCAGGTCATTAGATTAATAAGATGAGAAACTTGTTTTATTTAATCAACTTGCAAAGCAGCTTTCTGTAATTTAAGGCTTACATTTTCCAGTAATTGCTCGGGAATTGTATTAGTACAGTTGTATTGGAACACAACGTGTCTGTCGAATATATGCTTGACAACATTAACTGCATATTCTGTTTCAGCTTCAGTAAGCTCCACTGGTGCAGAGGACTGGTTACAGAATCGAACCATAAACAAGAATGTACATAATCAGCCAAGATGGTAGAAGAACCGGTAAGAGCATCTCCAGCGGTTCCTCCATAATTACTAATTAGCAAAAGTCAAAATCTCCAAAAAGAATTATATTCAATTCCAACAGTTTCTCCATTTCAGAGATTCCAACGTTGATTATATTATTAAAATATTCAATAATATACAAAAAAAAACATCCTTCTCTCTTCATTTTATTTTATTGGTATGCTGGGGAGTTTTTTCTTGGGAAGGATAAAAAATCATTCTCTCTTCTCCATTTAATTTTTAGCGTATTCTTCAAATTTGCAGAAATTTTCCCTCTATATTCTTAAAAAAGAGCCAAAAAAACTTCAAATGCTCATTTTTCTCTATTTTGCAGGAGCTGTTGGAGATGCTTTAACAAGCTTCTATTTAAAAAAGGATCCTATAAAACCAGAAACCAAACCAAACCCAACCAAACGAACCCAGTAATATTCCACCCAGAGGTGGGGTATGGGGGTGGGATGTACGCAGACCTGGCCTCCACCCTCAGAGGGTAGAGCGGCTGTTTCTGTGAAGACTATGATCCTATAAAAGAACCTTGAAAAGCTGTCCAAAGGTAGAGAATTCTGGAATGGATGATAGAAGCTTCTCATATGTATCAACTGCAGAAGTGAGGCTGGCTGGAGGAGCACCAAGAGCAGTGGACTTTTTACCAGCAGCTTTTTTCTCTGCAAGTGGCTGAGACTTGACTTCCTTGGGTACAGAACTGATATCAAAAGGTTCTTCCGTAGGTTCCTGTATTGGCAACAAAAGAAATCAAAAATATAAAAAATGGATATCTGTGGCAAAGGAAGTCGTAGCAAATCAGAAATTCCATGCAGCCACTTACGTAGTTCTTCAAACTAGTCTCCAGGTTGACCAGTGGGATATCCAGTGACCCAAAGAGAAATTCCTTTACATCTTTGTCAGTTTCAATGACTGAACCATCCCCTCCAAGAGTATTCAGATATAGTGTAGCCCTATCACGAACCTACACAAAGATTGGTGAAAAGATTTGTTAGAAAGCATAACAAGATAACTAGTTCCTGGGAAAGGAGTTTTTGTAATTACAGTGTGTGATATCCAGAAATGGTTGCAGAAGAAGGCCTCAAGGCTTAAAAATTCCATAATTTGAGAAACATGTTTACTGATAATAAACAATAAAACCTACTGTTACAAATGCAACTGACCTCATCATCGTTGTCATATAGGCAGCGTCTCAAAAGAACAAATATACGGGGCTGCAGTACAATATATTTATTCATGTCTACATTAGCATCAAATAATCCACCTTAGATTAATGTGAATAGAATATAAGAAAGCTAAGTTACCTTCAAAGAATCAACCATAGCACCAAACTTTGCCAATGTGCTTACTGCACTGGCTCGGACAGTTGCATTCTCAAGTATGACACGGTTATATATATACCTTATGTATTTGCTGGGATCGGAGGTCTTTGGTCCCTCAACACCAAGAAAATGGAGAATCTGATCATGAGTATAATAAAAGAAGTTTTAGTAATGTAGCTTAAGGACACACAAGCAAGGAAGCAACACTAAAATGCAAGAGGGTAAGAAATAATAAGCTCACTTGAGTTGAAAGATATGTAAATTCACAGTCCTCAATAAATTCACACAAGTGAAGAAGCCCACTTTCTTTTGCATCTGGAATATCCCTTATGAGGATCACGATAGAATCAACAATTGCTTTTTTGTACTCAAATCCACCTTCTTCCCTCAGGATATTGCTTAAGAAATTCATCCTAAGTAAAAGAATAGACAATAAAGGTACACCATGAGAGACACGGTCATATACTAAATATTCATCCTGATTTTCAAAAGAAAGGTTGAACATACTTACAATGTTCTGTACTTGAGGGGGAACTTCAAACACAAGGATCTGATGGCATCAACCACAACAATTTTGAACTCATCAGCAATATCAGACATGAAGTTGGTAATTTGCTTCATTAAACGATCAACACCTGATTCATTGCCTGTTTTCAGCAGTGTGGTAATGGCAAGGGTAGCTATACTTCTATTTTGGTCTGATATCAAGCTCTCCATATCTATGTTACAGTTAGTTACGGCCATTGGATGGGTCATTGCCACCTGTGAAAAT